GTGTGTGTGTGTGTGTGTGTGTGTGTGTGTGATGAAAATCTCAGCAATGTTTTGAATACTATACACTGGATATCGTCAATATGTTTAATTTATTGTATGTATACTACTGTAAATATTATACATTGTATGTACTGTATTATACTGTGTAATGCATATTGTATAAAGGTATTAAGGCAAATGTTGTTGCATTAAATTCATATAATATTTAAAAACATACAGTCACATAATACACATAATATATTATATGGCTTATATTTATTTTTAAATCTTTTTTTTTATAAACAGTCATCTTAACTATTTAAATAAAATTAAATAAATGTTCATTAATTATATTTAATAAATAAGGATTTAAAACATACAAATAAAAATAATTTATTATTTAGAGTCAATCTATTATATTTTTTAAAAAATATAAAAAAATATAAAAATATTTAAATGATAACAAGTGAAGCTTAACTAACTCATTGCAAATAACATTTACTGTAATTTACAGCAATTTTAAATATTATGTTAATTCCAATATATTTATATTATAAACTTTCTTTTATATCATACATACTGTATCTCTCTCTCTCTCTCTCTCTTTTCATGATTTTTTTAAAATCCTGATTTAAAATTATATATAATTTAAATTAAAATTTTATATTTTATGGTCTTATGTGCTGTAGTTGTTGTTTTAAATTTAAAAAATTGTTTTAAAAATGATAATAATAGTATTTTTTAAAATAATTTATTATATTTATACAAATCATAAAATAGTATTATACAGTATTATTGTATAGAGTATTGTATAATATTATTTTACTATACTATCTACAATAGGTCTAAACCTATTTAAAACTTTAATATAAAAATTTATATAAAATAAATAACTCATAAAGTATTGTAATAAAATCATAATTTTAAATAATCTATTTATATATAAAATTTATATATAATAATAATATTTTATTTGTAATTTAAATGCCAGTTAAATTTAAATTATATTTATTTTATTTAATAATTTAACATTTAATTCACTATTTTAATTCACTATATTCCGTAAATTCATTATGTGATTTGAATTATATAAAAATTTATTACAAAATATATTACACAGTAATAAATTAAATACTAATGAAAAAAATACTGTAATTTGAATTGACTTTTGTATAGTCCGACAGAACATTAGTTATTGATTTTTAGTTATTTTTTCATTTACTCTCAGAAATAGATAGATAGAGAAAGAGAGAGAAAGAGAGAGAGAGAGAGARAGAGAGAGAGAGAGAGAGAGAAATAAAAAAAGATAGAAAATACAAATAAAACGAAACGTAATATTTTTTGTGTTTATTTGTTTAGTTATTAGAAATTTTAGTCATGTTTTCAATAACATCACTGCAACAAAATAAAATATATCGTAACTTATATATATATATATACTGTATAGTATTGTAAAGTTGAGAGTAAAATATAACATAAGTTATATGTATATACAGTATATATTATTATATACTTGTACTAACATTGAAAAATATTTAATATATACTTTACTACAGTATATTCTACTGTACATATAATGGTACTGTACTAGTAGTATCTATAGTATAAAAAAATAATGTTATTCAACATTATTTTTTAAATTCAAAGTTTACATAAAATGTACAAGAGATCAGTTATATATATATATATATATATCTATAGATATTATTGATATACTACTTGTATGTTATATAACAATATAATGGATATGCGAAGTGATGCCCATATAGACTATCATTAAAGATATCGCTGTTATGTATGTATTGGCATTTAGAGAGAGAAAGAAAGAAAGAAAGAGAGAGAGAGAGAAAGAGAGAGAGAGAGAGAGAGAGAGAGAGAGAGAGATTGTTAAGAAATGTTTATTCAGTCATGTTTTCAATCAAATATATATATTTTTTTCAATAAAACTATATAATGATAAATATATAATATTTATATACATGAAAAATATATATATGTACAATATATATATCATAAAAAATAAATTTATATATTCTTTTGTAGAAAAAATATATTAGTTCAATTTTGTATTTTACTAGCATTGGTTATACAGAATCTATCTATCTATCTATTTATCTTTTTTTTATATTATATATCAGTATTATATCTATCAATCTAAAAGTATTATACCTTACATTATTCTATACATTATTATTATTATATACAGATATCAATATTCTGGTCTCGATTTTTTTTAGGATACAGAATATTCCTTATATTATATATATATATATATTTGTATGTATTGAAAATAATTGTCTGAATAGAAAGTGAAAAGATATAATGTTAACAACATATCAAAGTATATATATATATATTATTTTGAAAAAAAAGTTTCAAAAAAAACTATAATATATACTATTTGTTGTGAACTCATGTCTCGCTTTCATTATCTACAATATAATATCACAACAAAAGCAACAAAAATATAATACTCTAATACTAGTAAATGAAATTTACTCACAAATTATAAGATTGAGATCTATTTTGTAGACATTTTTTTGTTTGTTTGTTTAAATACTGACATATACTATAAATCTCGTTTCAGTTTATTTTATAGTTATTGTTATCAAACAATATTATACAAATTAAACTAAATAATACTAATGATACTATTATATATAATATATATATTTAAATAATAATTATATACATTATCTAATGTCAACAAATTAATATACAGTATTTCTATGTTAAATATCTAATGTTTTTTTTAAAAAAATATAAACTAACTTAAAGCTAATATAAAATGAATTATTTTAGTTAAAATCAGTTTAATAGTTTTTTAATTAATAAATAAATATTATTTCTATTTTTTAAATTGATAATTTTCAATACTAAGATAAATTTTATGCATTAAACTAGAAAATTTGTTAAAAAAATAATAGACATAGAAATTGCGAATAAAATTTAATATAAATAAAATAAATTTTTTTAACAAAATAAAAATAATAATTTTATTTTCAATAAAATTTTCAAAACTCATTTGTTTTATGCAAGTACTGTACAGTACAGTAAATGTATGATAAAAAGTAACAAATTTTATTATTTAATAAAATATATTCAGTATACTGTATGGTATTTGATATAATCATTATTATTATTTTTTTACAATTGTTATATTATTGAATACATTGTCTGGCATTTATAATGAAAGCAAACAAAAAAAAATATATAAAAGTATACTATATTCCATATATCAACCATTTTTTAAGTTTATTTTTTTAATACAATTTTTTTAAAAAAAACTTTTATTTATCTACATTTGAAGTTATGATATATTTTAGCGAGTTTTCAGTAAAAATTTATATCTTTTACTTACTATTATTATTATTTAATATTATATAATATTATTTTTGTATAATTTTATTATTCTTATTACAATTATTTTTAATAAAACTATTTTATGATTCATGATATTATTATTATTATTATATAATAAATTTTTATATGCATAAAGTTTATTGTTTTGTATTATTGTATGAATCATAAAATAGGCATCATAAAATTTTTACGTTAAATTAAAATAATAACATTTTATTAAATAAAAAAAAAAGTTCATATATTCTCTCTCTCTCTCTTTCTTTCTTTCTTTCTTTCTTTCTCTCTTTCTGTCTTTATTTGCCCACTCATTCAAATATGTCAATAAATTGATATTAAAATTTACAACATTGCAATTTTATATAATGAAAAAAAATGTTTTATTTTTATATGATCGATATGCCATCATCTAATAATATAATAATCAATAATATTGTATATCTTTTTTAGTGTATTTAATATTATCTATAATTATAATTATATTTTTCCAGTATTACATAATATTACAAATATTTATCTATTTTAAATACTGTATATATATATTGAAAAGATAATTAATTGAGAGCAAAAAAATTTTCTAACAAAAATAATTTATTTAATTTACTTGAGTCACAAAAAATAAAATAAATTTTTTATCAATTTTAAAATATTAAATAAAATTATAAAATTCATAAAATTAGATTACTTTCAAATGTGCATCACATAAATGTGATAAAATATATATAAATCGTATAATACATTTTCTACATATTATAAAAATAAATAAAAAATTGTTTTAGCATTAACCTTGATATTCAAACGATCAATACTAGTACTTATAATCATAATAATAAAAATTATGAATAATTTATCAAAATTTATTTTGATATTAGAATATAATATAATATATATATATATATATATTATTATTTAACATATGATAAGTTACTTAAAAATATTAATTCATAATAAACAAAATTGTTAACATTTTTTTAATAGTAATTTATTACTTAATACTAATAATATTATATACTTGTATATCATTATATAATATTATGTTTTTCTTATGTCTAGTCTAGACTAGACTAACTTATGGTAAAAATTTTATCAATATTTAATAAAACAAAAATAATAAAAAAAAATATTATGAAAAATAATTATTTTTTTGTCTATTTATTCTACTACTAACCCATTTATTAGACAAGTTGTGATGTATTTATTAATATTATAGTTAAAATCTATTTTAATTTCTGTATTTTTGCAATTATTTTTTATTATACAATATATATATATATATAATATTTATGTCTTTATATTAATTATTTTTTTCATTTAAAAAATATATTAATTGCTGTAATTTATTTTTGTTTGTTTGTTTGTTTGATAAGGACTTACATACAGTCGACTTAGAGGACTTCAACTATGGCCGCACAAAGATTACATCCTTTCGTATTGTCGACTCATCCAGTCTTGAACTCCAGAGCCTTATAGACGACTGGCCAATACTGACCGCACGGTTAGGCTATAGGCGCACCAAAGCGCCTGATAATAGTATTTCGGTATATATTTGAAACAAATTTAATAAAATATTGAAAATCATTTTTTTTATCTTATTGTTTATATTAATTCATATTTTATTTGTTATAATTTAGACGGAAAGTGCGCTTATCTACGATGGGGTACGGCTATTGGCCACAGCCATACAGGACTTGGATCAGAGCCAAACAGTTGAGATACAGTCCATCTCATGTACGGCAGGAGTTCCCTGGGAAAAGGGGTCGTCACTAATCAATTATATGAGACCTGTAATTATTATAATAGTTATTATAGTATTGAATGAAATAATTAATTAATTAATTTAAATTTCCTTATTTATATGCAAAAAAAAATATTTATTTTATTATATATTTGTGAATTTGTTTGCAATGTTTTTTTTCGCGCGCACACACACACACAAAATTATTTAGTAATATCATATGTACAGTAAATGTGTTAACAAATATATTCACTATTTCACTACATGTTTACAGAATATTCTGTATGTTTGTATATTTAGTATATACAATATATAAATTTTTTTTATATATATATAATTTATATTACATTCACTCTTCATAGTAATGAATATTTTACAAATGCTTAGCTGACTATTATTGTTTGTTGAGATTAAATATTTAATGCCTAAACACATATAATTTATATTCAGATATAGATATATAAATTATATTATTATATAATTTATATATATATATATAATAATTATATATTTATATTGTACAACAAGCTTATTATTTTATTGCATTCAATCGTATATTAATTTTCGCTATAATATATTATATATATATTTATAAATAAAATGTATGTACAGTACTATCATTAGAGATTTCAAACTATGAAAAGCTTTTAACTCATTTTGTGTTTGCATTGATTTAGACCGTATAGTAAAACTAAGAGAGAGAGAGAGAGAGAGAGAGAGAGAGAGAGAGTAAGATATTTAATTATTTATCATTTTATATTCACATTTCATTATATATATATGACACATATATTCTGAGCATAAATATACTATATTATGTATAACTTATATAATATATTAAATATAAATTAGATTAATATATATAATATCAAGTATACTGTATCTGTAAATGCGATATAATAGTAATACTGTATATACTATAATATTATATATACTGTAAATGCAAATACAATATACTTTTACTTATAGTTTATAAAATAAAAATTATATTTATATTATATAAAGGATTTAATCAGAATATCTGATAATAATAACTCACATATTGTTGTCTCAAATGAATTGACTATACTTTTTCATATACAGAATACAGTAGTTATATATATATATATAACTAAATAGTCAGCAATAATTTTTTTATGATATCACAAGTTATACCCAGTATTCATACACACACACACCAAAAAATAATACATATTTTTTATTAGATAAGTATATGTAATGTATATATCATATGTTTGTTACTACTACTACTACTATAAAAGCCATTAATATCTGGTTTTGTTATATATTTTTTTCATCTTTCCTCCCCTTTCCCCCTTCATATACTCCTTCGTATATTAATATATACCGTCACCCCCTACACACCACACTGCTACACACATTCATACATACATACACTGCCATCAACTGAATCGTAGATCACTTTTCGCGGCATAACAGGCCTCGTGGGCTTTGATCAGTCGGGATTCAGATCCAGTGTTACGTTAGATGTGATGACCATTGACTTAGAAGGCTCTGGACTACAGAAAGTAAGGGAACAGTTGTTGTATTATTTTTTTTTGCTTTAATTTTTCTTATACAACAACACACAGACTGTATATACAGTATATATATATATAACCATAAACATTACTAATGGACTTCATCTATATTATAGACACTTTTATTTTATTATTATCGATGTTTTATGATATGTTTATTGATTTATGTTATATACACCATTATATCAGTATATACAGTGAAATTTTATATATCATATGTAACCATAAATTTGTGCACAACTACTACTACTACTACTTTTACTAATACACTACCGTTAGTTTGTGTTTAAATCATTAATTATTAGTGTATAACATTTCTCATATATTGTATATAAAATTATATATTATATTACTATATATATATATATTTATATATAAATTTATATATAGATAGCCTAATAGCAAATGTTATTTTTGAAAAATAATTACATATAAAAATAATTGATTTAATTAATAAATGATAAACAATAAAAACATTGTATTATTTGGAAATTTGTTTTTTTGATTAATAATAATACAACGAAAAATTAATAATAACACAATAATTATATACAATTTTTCCTAAACACACATAAACATTGACACATAGTTTTATGTGTTATATATATTATATATAAATACTGTATAATATAATATAATTTACATTAAATATTATCAGATCGGCATCTGGTCTGAGGACAGCAAACTGGACAACAGTCTCAACATAAGTAACCAATGGATCAGCCATTATACAAAACTAACCCTACAAAACGCCCACTTAAGTATTACGACTGTATTGAGTCCTCCGTACACAATGGTCAAGGAGTCGTCCAATACTAAGATCGGTAACGACCAGTTTGAGGGCTTCTCCATCGATCTGATCCAAGAGTTATCAAAAATATTGCATTTCAAATATGAATTTCGATTGGTTAAGGATAAGGGTTACGGACGGCCCGACGCCAACGGCACGTGGAACGGTAGGTTACACACACACCCACCCACACACACACACACACACGCACGCACATACACGTGTGTGTAAATATTAATATACAATATAGTAGGCTCAATAAATTAGTTTACGGGTATAATTTCATGTTTTTTACATATATGACACTCGTGTATAATATCATATTATTATTATTATTAATTTTATGTGTTTATAGAAATATGTTATTTATATCAGATTACAGTACTACTATTTTTATACATATATATATAATACAATATATAATATATTAAATTTCTATCAAATAATCAACTGATTATTATTATTATTATTATTATTATTATAAGGTATGATCGGCGAACTGATTCGTGGCGAAGCCGACATAGCAGTAGCCGATCTGACCATAACATCCAAACGTGAGGCAGCGGTTGACTTTACCCATCCGTTTATGAACACCGGTATTAGCATACTATACAAAAAGCCGACCAAAAAGATTACTTCGCTGTTTTCGTTTTTGTCGCCATTTTCCAACATTGTCTGGATCTATGTGGTCGGCGCCTACATCGGCGTCTCGAGTATGCTGTTCATTGTCGGCCGACTCTCACCGTACGAATGGGAAAATCCGCATCCGTGCCGCAAAAACGACGAAGTCCTCGAAAACGGCTTCAGTCTAAGCAATAGCTTCTGGTTTACCATTGGCTCACTTATGCAACAGGGAAACGACTTGTCGCCCAAGTAGGGGACCTAAATAACTCATTGATTGTCATAATTTGTTTTTTTATTGTTGTTGTTGTTGAACCAAATAATGCTAATTTTCACCCACCCTTTCCCATCCATCCACCCACCCACCCAACAGAGCCATGTCCACGCGTACTATAGCTGGAATTTGGTACTTTTTTACGTTAATAATGATCGCCTCCTATACCGCCAATTTGGCTGCCTTTTTGACTGTCGAAAAGATTGTCTTCCCTATCGAGGATGCCGTAGGACTGGCCAATCAGGACACTATTAAATACGGTTGTCTACAATCAGGGTCTACCGCCTCGTTTTTCTCAGTAAATATATTTCTATTACTACTACTACTATGCTTTTATTTCTATGCGACTTTTTTAAATGACTACTGTCACCCAATATCATCCACACATTCACCTACCATCTCAATCAAAATTACAAACAAACTAATTATGATTAGTTAACTAATAGTTATGTTTTATTGTGTTTGTATGATTGATTTATTGTGGGGATGTGTGTGTTTGAATATTGACCACACACACACACACATACATATATATATAACATACACACACACACACACACACACACACACACACACACACAACACACACATGACATATATAATTTTATATACCTGTATATTATATATATAACACACACCATTATCGTCACCTAATAATAATTGTGAAACAAAACAAAAACATATATCTGTACCGTTTGTTTTATTTTATTAATTTTTGTTGATTGAAGGAATCAAATATAACGACATACAAGAAAATGTGGAAACACATGTCTAGCACACCGGGAGTACTCATGGTATCCAATGAAGAGGCCAAACAAACTGTCGAAAGAAGTGATGGCAAATATGCGTTCCTCATGTATGTATGATTTATTTATTATCATTCATCATCTGATTCATGATTTATTGAGAGAAAAACTAAAGCTACAAAAAAAAACACTAACAAAAAAAAATACAGACATCATAACTAAAAGGGTCTGTTTTTTTTGCTGTGTTATAATAATAATAATATTTTTTTTTTTGGATTTGTTGTTTAATAGGGAAAGTGCTTCCATCGAGTATACCGTCGAAAGAGACTGTAATCTCACACAAATCGGCGGTCTATTAGACAGTAAAGGCTATGGTATAGCCACTGTAAAAGGTAAATGTCTCATACCTGTCCTCATTCCCACTGTCTGTTTTTTTTGAGTACTAAACTAATGGCACCTACATATGATCCATTTTTTTAACACCCACCCTCACCCCAAACAGACTCACCCGTTCGGATGCCTTTATCGCAGGCCATACTACAGCTCCAGGAGTCTGGTGTACTGTTGCTGCTAAAGGAACGGTGGTGGAAACAGAAAAAGGGCGGCGGACAGTGTGTCGAAGATAAAAAAGGCGGCGGATCGGTAACACCGTTGAAGATCGACAACGTGGGCGGCGTTTTTGTTGTCCTATTAGGCGGCCTATCGTTTTCATTGTTTGTAGCCATACTCGAGTTTATGTGGAAGGCTCGTAATTTTGACGTTAGCCAAGTGAGAGCGCTTACCTATTTATTTATCTACCTAACCTACCTACCTGTCCCAATCTATTATTGATTTATGTGTGTCTGATTTGACTGCTATATATATATATATATATATATATATATTATTTTTTGTTTTGTTTAAGGAAACGATATGCGAGGAAATGCTAAACGATCTGAAGTTTGCATTTTCCTGTCAGAGCTCATCCAAAGCGGCCAAACCCCGAGCGGGCACTTCACTTGACTGTTATAAATATAGCGACGAAAAAGGGTCGTCACTTCCGCCACAGTTTTCTACAATTTATTGATACAATTTTGTTGTCGTTTTTTTTAAAAAAAATTTATTGAAAAAAATGATTTATCGATAATTAATAATAATATTATTAATAATAATGCTAATCATTTTGGGTGATGATGTTAGCTATAATGATAATTAATTCAAAAAAAAAACTATTTATGATATTATCGGCTATGTTTTGAGGAACAGTACATGAATTATATTTAACAAATTTAATGATACAATCAATCCGTTATATATATATATATATATATCAATTCACACACCAGTCCTCCCACACACACATACACACATTATTGACATACCGGTGCCATCTTTTCAACAAAAAACCCAATTTGTGATCAAAAATATTTTATGTCTTTTTCTCTTTACTTTTTTTGATAAAAAACAAAATATATATATATATAATATAAATTAATTAATTAATATAAAAATTTATTGTACAAAAAAATTACTATTATTATTAATATTAAATTTTTACTGTAAATGCAATATACAATTTACGAAAAGTCATTTAATAATTATTAAAAAAAATTATTATTATTATTATAGAAAATATATGTACGTAAAAAATATTCACTATTATTATTATTATTATTATTATTATTATTAATGTAAAAGTAATTTATAGTGTTATCATATGTATCTAAAAAAATATATGATTGAAAAACATTTAAAATAATAATTTACAGAATATTTCAGATTAATATTGTTATTATTAACATAATATTAATGTATTTTTTAAAGAAATTATTCATAATAATCACAATTCAGTATAACTACTAATGATATAATATATAAATATATATATATTTAATGTAATGTTTATTTCAAATATTATCTTTCAAATGCAACACACAATACAATAGACACATTTAAATAGACTGTTATCATTAAAAATTTGTTTAAAACTATTTTATCTCCAGTTATTGTAATCATAACAAGCAATCAAAATAATAATAATAATAATAATCACATTAGCAATAGATACAAATAATTGTAACAAATAGTAATAATCATTATATGCATTGTGAATGAGTGACTGAATAGTTATGAAAAATATATCACTTAAGAAAAAAATTAATATATATATATATATAATATTTTTGTTGTTTAAGTTGAAAAAATACAATTTTCTACTACTTTTTAGATGATAACTAGTCAGTGACTAAATGAATAATCAATATTAGGGTTATCCCTATTTAAATATATATATATATATATATGTTTATATGACTATCCCTTTTATTGCCACAAATATTATTTAAAAAACTAAAATATATCACCGAAAATTGCTCATTGAAAATTTTTTCGTCAATTTTAACAATGATATAATTTTTTTCTACTATTATATATATATACTGTATATCACTGATGAGATAATAATAATAATGTTAATGATGAGCTCAGTTATTAATAGTAATAATAGTTTATGAATTTATATATACGATATATATATATATATATACCGGTGCGAGAAAATTATATAAATTTTTAATTAAAAAAAACTTAATATTGTATTATTCATTATTAACTGTTTATCTAATTTATATTTCCAATAATTTGTTAATCATATTTTTATTGTTATTAATTAATATTATAAAATTTTTAAAAATGCATAACTTATACGTTAAATTCAAAATGTTTATTTTATTTTTAAAAATTTGTATTTGTAATTCATCAATGTAAAAATATTCATCAAACATTGTTTATAAATTATATATATATATATACTGTATATTTAATATATATTGTATATTTTGTTAAAAATCTATAAACGTCTCTATAAATTGTTATTTAAACATTTTAAATAAACTTAATATATTAAGAAAACATTTATTATTAATAATTTTAAAAAAATCAATCTTTGTAACTATTAATATAGTTAATGTATTGTATTGTATATATGAATAATATAAAGACAATTATTATTATTGTTGTTTTTTTAAATACATTTTACAAAAATTATATTAATATACAAAAACAAAAATTATATTATTAATAAATTAATATTAGAAATGATATATTATGAATGTAAATAATAATAATAATTAATAATAAACTTCTAATAAACTTAATATTAATTTTATTATACCGAATTTATTACAACAATAAATTAACAAAATTAAATAACTCAAAAATGTGCATGCTTATAAATCTAGATAGATTAATTTAATATTAAATTATAATATACCATAAATAATAATCTTTTATTTTATAATTATAAAAGTAAAATGAAATAAATTTTCAAAAAATAAATATTAATATGATTAGTACAACATAGATGGTGACACCATGTTTATAAATATATTTAATTTTTTATTTAACCATATTACCCTGCTATATTTATTAAAAAAGTATTATTATTATTACTAATTATGTAACCCTGATGCTAACTATAGCATGTATTTTGATATATATCTTATAGTAATGTTGTAAAATAAATTTACAATATCATCAGGTACACATAAACTATAACTAATAAATATAGTCAATAGTTAACAGCTTATGTAACCAATTATTTTCAATTTTCAATTTTTTTTATAAAATTAATTATAAATTTAATTATTTTAATTTTAAACAAATAATATTAATTTATATGATATTATTTATTAACAATTTAAATTATAGTTTATAATGTAATTTTATTTTTTATTATTTATAATTTTAATAACTACTGTATTTGATTTTATAATTAAGTTTAATAATGTTTATAAAAAAAATAATTATACAAAGTTAAATTAATTAAAATTTTATTTATTTATTAGTTTTCAAACTACTATCATTATAAATGTACAATATATATATTTACAAACAATTTTATTCTAGATAATTTTAATAATAATATAATTATTAAATGTTACAAACAATTTAATTCGATAAAAACAATTTTACAAATAATTTGATGATAAAAATTTGCATTTTGTTTTTTTACAATCAATCAAACAAATAATATAAAAAATTATTAAAATAACACTGTTTTATGAAATTAATAATTAGTAACATTTATAAAATTTTATTTTTAGTTTTTTTTAAATTTTTTTATCTAGGTTAAAATCTATTGATTTTCTGTAACTGTAATAATTAATAATAATAACTATTATGTATAATTTTTTTAGTAAACAGAGTAAACAGTTATTAATGTTTTTTTAAATAAATTATTTATTATTTTTAAATATATATATAATTTAAAAACCTCACTCATTTTTTTAAAACTATTGTATTAATTAAGTTATATTTGTAACACAAAAAAATGTAAATAAGCAATCAATTGTAAATTATAACTCCTAATTAATATAACAATTTTTTTTAAAAAAACTTAATTATTAATTTACTAATAATTTTCAAATGTTTCCCAGTATTATCGATAACTATTGTGGAAATGTTTATGAAATATATATATATATATACAAAATATTATTAAGTTTATTAATAATTAAATAACTAATATTTAATTTTATTATTATTGTTGATGTTGTTGATTGTGTTGATTGAAAATGTTGTGTTTTGTAAAAAACATTATTAATTATTATTATTTATTTTTTTTATTAAACAAATATTTCTCACTAAAACTCTTCACATTTTGTGTTTCTGTGTGTTTTATATCATTAAATTTATGGCACTTTTTATTATTATTATTATTTAGTTATTTTTTAATATTATTAATATGCATTTAATGCTAATCACGTACACATAACAACACAAAAAGATTGTTTTTTTACAAATTATTATTTAATAAAAATTATTAATTATTTAATAAATTAGTTTTTTTTAATTATTGAAACATTCAATAATTTCAAATGTTTTCAATAAACAAAAAATTATCGTCCATTTAACAAACATTATTAATATTATTATAATTTAACAAACATTACTATACTAAACAAATCATATTGAAATGATATTTTTTAAAATTAATTTATATACATTATATATATACTTAAAAATATTAATTTCAATTATAATTATTATCTATTAATTATCTAATTAATTAATAATAAAAAACTTTTTAATTAGAAATTATTTAATTCAATAACCGTTTTTTTAAAAAAAAGATTTATATAACAATATATATACTCTTTTTATTTTATAATATTTAAATTATAAAATGTCGTCTGTCTCTAATAATAATAAAACATTTTCATAGCAAATAAATTGCTACTTAAAGTAATATATATTTACAGTTATATATATATATATATATACAGTATATATCATTGGGGATAAATATGTTTAGTTGTTGTAGTAGTAGTTAATGATACGCGACCAGGGCTTTTAGTCTCGGACCATATAACCCTACCGTTCCTCTTAAAAAAACACACATACACATTTCCAAGTGTGTGTATCTCTGTTGATAGAGATAGATAAGCGGGAGGTAGGGTAGGAACAGTTGATTAAGCGAAAACAATGAAAACTCATTTCAAACTCATTTATTTATTTCCTTTTTTTTGTTTTGTTTGTTTGTTTTATATTTATATTATTTTATCTTTGATGCACTTCTCTATATCACCCAATTATTGCAAACATTTTTTTCACTCTCTCTCTCTCTCTCTCTCTAGCTTCTCCAGTCTACCCGGTTGTTATGGATGAGCTGATTATTGGTGGTGTCTGAATGTCCTAACTATAAATGGATCAGACATTTAGCTGGGAATTTAGTTGATGGGATGAGAGACACCAGTGTGATTATTATGATGATGATTGAAAATATATATAATATATATACAGTATATATGCATTATAATTATGTATGTAAATGGTTTTTATTATGGATAATAATAATAATTATTATTATTAAACACACACATCATATATATATATATATTAAATGGCTAAGAATGGGGTGAATGGTGTCTATAATGACAGGACGACTGATGATGAAGAGGCTGTAGATGTGACGGCTGGTAATTGGATTGTTGATGATGTGATGGCTGCTGATGGTGTGACTGATGTCGGTGCTGGGAGTTGTGTTGTTGGGATGGCTGATGATGATGGCATTCACCACCACCGCCACCGCCACCGCAATCAAACTGCAGGGGCGACGATGTCTTTCTCGATTCAATCATAGCCAGTATGCCGTTCTCTTGGGGCAACATTTCCATGGCTGCTGCCGATGACGGAACATAGGTATTGTTCGGACCAACCGGTTGTATACATTTTGAACACTGCCGGCGTAGGGCTGGCCTCTGGCGCGGTGCCCGACACTTGACAGCAAAACGTAGTTCTTCGGCCATCTCCGAGCAAAGCGATTGCTGATTGGAGCAAAAGATAAGATTCTATGGCTTTATTAATATACTTTTTTTGTTCAGATAATACCGGTTCTCTGCTGTGTGTGAGGAGGACAGGTATGTCATGCTAGTGTGGTGGTGGACAGTAGTAGTAGTAGTGTTGGTGTGGTATTGGAAAATAGGGATAACAAAAAAGCAGATAAACAAATATAATAATTATTATGTTTTTTTTAAATTTATTGATACTATGATTACTAATACTACTACTATTACTAGTTAATAGCTAACTAATTATATAGTAATCATTATTAAGTTTGTTAATTAATTTGTTTGTTTGTTTAATGTGTTGGTCCCTCAATGGAAGTCATTGATACAAACTAGTAGGTGACTAGAGATTACAGCCCCCACACCCCCCCCCAACTATCATCATCATTGACTACTTATATAATTATTGTCCGACTAATGTATTTAAACTATTATATTAAATATTTAAAAAATGCTAAACAACTTTTAGTACTACACTAATAGTAACAATATATACTGTACTTAATGTTTTACTAATATACTGTAATATTTAATTACTGTTAAAAATAGAAATGTCTAAAAATTATATTATTATTATTATCATTATTATAATATTAGCTACAAACATAATGTGTGTGTGTGTGTGTGTGTGTTTGTATTATAGTAATTACTGTTAGGTATTATTTGTAAGTAAAACATATTAAATGCATGTGTGAAACAACAAAACTGTGCAAAAATAGTAGACACATAAAAATTGAATGAAATTGTTTTGTAAGTACTGTACTGTATGTCTGTCTGAATGACTGGTCGTTATTTTCAAGAGAGAGAAAGAGAGAGAGAGAGAGAGAGAGAGCTTTTAAAAGCACTGTTAGGTTTTTAAAAGGTCTATACAAGCGATAAACTCATTTAGGATTAGTAGTAGTTGTTGTTGTTGTAGTACTGGTAGTATTAGAGGAGATAAAAGTGCGACTAAATAATTAGCTTTTATTTTTACGCACCCGTAAAGTTTACAGGTATATCGTATATAACTAAATCTCCCACTCACTCACTCACTCACTCACTCACTCACTCACTAACTCACTCACTTACCCACCCATTCAATAATCCTAATGTTGTGTTGTCTATAATATTATTAGTAGTGTTAATAGTAATATTGCTAATTCAAACACCTCTGTTGTAATCAACATCATCATCACCACCACCAGCACCGGTATGTGATCAACCAAAACGTTGTGCCACTACTATACTATTACTACTGTATGTCCAATATTATTGATCCATTCTCTCTCTCTCTCTCTCATCTCTATAATAGACAACACTCACTCACTAACCCACTCACCCTCTTATATATAGATAGTAAGAGCCATAAATGTATAGACACACTAATTATTAAATGATTCTCATATAATATAATGTATAATATATAGTAAGAATCAATAAAGTCTATTTGATGTGTGTGTGTGTGTGTGTGTGTGTGTGTGTGTGTGTGTGTGTGTGTGTGTGTGTGTGTGTGTGTGTCTGTGTCTGTATGTGTCTGTATGTATGTGTGTCTTATGTAGTGTATATTTGCTGTGATTTAATGTGCCATTCAATCACTATATTATCGGATAAATATATAAAAAAATACAATTCATTTATTGCTGACTACTATTGAATGGCCATTAGGTTTACGGTATGTGTTAAGGAAGAGAGAAAGAGAGAAAGAAAGAAAGAAAGAGAGAGAGAGAGAGAGAGAGAAGAGAGAGAGAAAGTAAGAAAGAGAGAGAGAAAGTAAGAAAGAGAGAGATAGAGACCTAAAATATATAAGTCATCAATAAATACATATATTGTACTAAGGGTTATATATTTATATGTATAGTACTGTATATGAATCATACAATAATATGATAAAAATGTTGTCCAAAATTACATATATGTGCCTTTAAGTGACAATTTCCCATCAATTTGAATGACAATATTTTCCGATTTTTTTGTGTGTAATTTTATTTGTGTTGTCAACTATTTGTTGTGTGTGTGTGTGTATGTCTTGATGTCAATCATCAAATATCATTTATTTAATTTAATGTCTAACATCCCAATAAAGTAAATAATTTTAAAACTAATATTTTTTAAAATTTAAAATTGATAAAATTTTTATAATGATATTTTTAAACATTATATAATTTAAATCTAATATATATATATATATTAAATTAAGTTATTTGATATTATATAAGTATACACTCTAATAAACATAATAAAAATAAACTAATTATTAAAATAAAATTGTTTTATCATTATTTGAAAATTGTTTACAACAACATTAACTATATTATATAGTATACAATATTATTATATATTAATAGTAATACTGATGGAAAAATTTTAATACTTTATATCTGATAATACAGCATACTGTATGTTAAATTAAACATTTAATTTTTTTTATTATTATTAATCTGATTATAAATATAAACACAAGTTTTATAAATATTATTAGTCAACTCAAAAAAAATACTATGATTTTCAATATATTAAATACTAATTAATGTATACTTTATAAACAATAATAAAATGATAATAAGTTTTCTATATTTAAACAGTATATATGGAGTAAATTTATGTCATATTATTATTATTGTATAATAAGTTAAATATTTTTATTGGAAATATTGCAATTAAATAGAATTTAACAAATTATATAATAATATTTAATAATAATAATAATAATAATATAGTAATATATTATATATAAATAAAATTAATACTGAACTAAAACTGAAGTTAATGATTATCATATAACTTATATATATTTTTATCATAATATAAAATTGTAATAAATATTTCTTTTAGACACTATAAGGTCACACATACATACACACACACTAACACTATATACTAATGATAAATATATTTTATCATATCCTGTATTAATACAGTATTGATATATATTATATATAGATATTAAAAGTGATTTAATAGATAATAAATTACTGAATGTTTGGACAATTGCTAAATATCAAGAGAAACCCAATGATTAATATTGTAGATAATCTATATGTAAAAGGTTTGCTGGTTATGACTGTTCAATATGTACTGTACTGTACAGTGTGTAGTAGGTATGTCCACAACTATATGTGTGCTGCTGTATGTTTGTTAAAGGTTTTTGATTGACAATTGTCAAGTTAACACACACACACACACATACATACACACACACATACTTACACACACACATACTTACACACACATACTTACACACACACACACACACACACACACACACACACACACACACACACACACACTTAATTTAATCACTAAACAAAGTGCAGACAATAGTAGACAGTGCACAGGGATGTCAACAACACATACTGTATACAACTGTAGTGATATAATTGAATGCATATTCATTACTAACATAGAGAATACATACTAAATGTATGTAATAATTACTATAAAAACTACTGACACACACACACAGTTCACAGAGAGATGTCATACAAACAACACTAATCGTTAATATATTTATCGTAATATTGATAATAACATACCCGACCAGACAAACATACAATCATACATACATTGGATACTATGAAAAGCATAAACCATAACCATAGCACAGTTATGTATTATCAATTTTTTTGATGATAAGCAATAGGGATGTCATATAAGATAATATATTCAGACATAATATTTCGCTTACCCTTTGGTTTTGTGCATTCTTTCTTGAGTTGACACAAAACTCGATAATAGCGGTGACAATGGCAACGGCCAGTCCGCCCAACAGCACCACAAATACGCCGCCAATGTTATCAACGCCCAGGGCATTAGCCTTACCCTCTTTGCTTTTGTCGTCCCGGGAACAGGTAATACCCGGCCGTTTCCACCACCGGTCGTAAAGCATACGAATGACTCCTTTTTCCTGGAGATGCAATATAGCCAACGATATCTTGTCCCTCCAGGGAGAACCTAACGGTGCAATTGATATGATAGTAGAGATATATATAGTATTATTGGTAGTAATGATGGTGTACGTGCTTAGAGTTAAGGTAGATCTATATATATATAACGGTAGTTACTGTATACTCAATGTATTTTTTTATCTACCTTTTTAACAAAATAACATTAATAGTGTGATTGAAATTGATTTTTGTTGTTGTTGTTGGTTATCTGTTTCTCAATTCCTATTAAATGTTGTTTACTGTATTGTACTATATATATATATATGTGTTAATAATAATAGGCAATGTCTAAGTAATGAATTAATTAAATTGTAAATTCAATTAAAAGTGTTTTCTATCATCTATTATAATAATAAAAAAAACCTCTTATATATAATAGTGACGATGATTTATAATGAATATTGCATTTTATTATTAAACACATATTATTTTTAACTGTGTGTTATATACTATATGTGTGTTATATAATTTATATATACATATATACTGTATATACTGTATATATATTGCATATAAGTAATATGTTATTAAAAAATTTAATTAAAATTTTTTAATTTATAAGTCTAGCATATAATTATAGAAATATTGATATTATTGATTGATGTAATTTTGTTGTTATTGTTGGATACACATTAAAAGTATATACAACACATTAATCTATCAATATATAGCTATTTTAATAATATAGATATAATTTATTTAATATTGATTATAAAATTAAAAATGTTCTCTCTCTCTCTCTCTCTCTCTCTCTCTCTCTCTCTCTCTCTCTATGTATATGTAAAGTATGTGTGTTTTATGTGTAAATCATTCACAAGAAAAAAATGGCTATAATTTTTCATTGAAAATTTTTAATTACATTTGTTATACAGTATTTGAATTTAATGTATAAAGTAGTCTAACTGTGTTATACATAATACTGTAGTATATATTTAATGTAATTATATTTTGAGAAACAAATGTCAGCACAATGTAAGAAAGCCATACATTTTAATGTCTATGATATTCATGTCATTAATTATAATTAATATAAATCATATATAAGTTTTTCGATGATATCTCACTACTTATATATAGTATATATATATATATATATATATAATACAGAATATAGTGTATATAATGTATAATATATATATAAATTATATTATGTATTGATTTTGTGTTTCTCATTTTTAATACTGTAATAATAAGTATAATTTATATTAATCTAGAAAACTACTCAACTAAATAATATATAATTTATAATTAATATCTATATATTTATATAATAACTATATATTTATACTGTAGATATAATTTATATATTAAATATTATACATTAGACAAGTTTTATTTTTAAATAAATACTGTATAAACATCTAAAATGTTTTAAATTTTATTGATCCCTTTAAACTAAAAATTATTTTAATATATAATGTAAATATTATTATACATATATTTTTGTTACATTGTATTTATTATATAATATACAATATATATATACAGTTTATTTATTGTGTGTAGCAATGTATGCATAATATAAATTTATAGTTATAAATTATATAATAATAAATTAAGTGATGTTTGTATCGCATAATTATCATCAAAAAATATATTTTATTAAGTTTTGGTTAATAATAGTTGACTATTGTGATTATACTGTATATATATGTTTATTATATTATTGAGTTTATTATTAGATATAGTTATTTTGTTGTCAAATAAACACCTACACATTTTTTTTGGAAAATTTTTAATATAATATTATAATACAATATTTACTGTAGAGTAAAAATTATAATAAGTTTTATAGCATAATAATAATAATAATAATAACAAATTGTCAATCATTAAATTTGAATGCTAATCAATAATATGTGTAGGATTTTTGTAAAGTTTGTTTGTAACTTAAATAAATTATACTATTTTTTTAATAAATAGCAAATTAAATTAATTATTTTTTTTCTATATATATAATTTATTTATATTTTTTTATTTTATAAATAATATTTGATTAAATAGTTATATTTGTCTTATATTATAATTCATTAATATTTAAACAAATAAATCACTTATTTTTAATTACTATAATTAATGTTATCTGAAATTTATTGTAAATCTTAAATAAGCACATATTAAGTAATTTATATATTATAAAACAAAATATAAAAAACTATAATAAATTAAAAGCTTATAATAGCTGATATATAAAGATTAATAATTAATTGTATTTATTATAGAGATTTTTCTATTATTATAATTATTTTTTATTTTTAATAAATTTTTTAAGGATAATTGAATATTATAATTAGTTGTTATATAATTGCATAAGAAGTTATATGTTTATAAATATATACAATATATATATATATATATATATATATATATATATATATATATATATATATATATATATATATATATATATATATATATATATATACTGAATATATATATATATATTAATATATTTATTATATTAAATCACTTACCTATAGGTGTGGCAATACCGTARCCCTTACTGTCCAATAGACCGCCAATTTGTGTTAAATTACAATTTCGTTGAACCATAAAGTCTAACATTGTACTAATAATTGGGGGGTGGGAGGGGTAGTCAAAATAAAAAAATAATTTTTAAAATAAATATCTAATAAATAAATATTTTTAACTATAAAAAAAACAAACAAAATAAGACCTACCTTTCCATTAGGAAGGCATAGTTACCATCGACTACCCTCTGGACGCCCTCTTCGTACGACTTGACAAACACTCCCTGTCTGTTCTCCATAAACCTCCACATCCGAGAGTAGGTCTCAATTTGTGAGTCGCGAAAAAAAGTCATTGTCGACCCACTTTCCAGTGTACCGTATGTTATCTTGCTCTGGGAGGCCAAGTCCTCTACCGATTCAATTGGCGTAATCATACGCTCGACTGTCAAAAAGGCGGCCAAATTGGCCGTATAGGAGCTGATTAGGATGAGCGTAAAGAACCACCAAATGGCACCAATAATACGTGTGGAAGTGGCTTTCGGATTCAGATCACATCCCTGTCCATCGCCGCCCAGTCAGTCAGTCAATGGTGTGATAATATAATAGACAGCAAACACACAGTTAGTGTCATTGAAAATAATAATTTAACAAAAATATAATATTTGATGTAAAAATATTCATTTAAAACAATATATAAATTATTTTTTATTTCTAATGTTTTTACAGTAATAAAAATACTATATTATAACTTAAATACTAATTTTTAAAAATAAATTGTTTTCTATAATATCATTGTGTGTTGTTATTTTTTTGATTATCTTTTATATTATTATTATTATTATATTTTTTACTTTTAGTTTTTTTGTACTTAAAAGTCAATTGTGTGTGTGTTAAGCTTAGTGTGAAATATAATACTTATAAATATAGTATTATTTTTTTATATAAAATATTAAATGTAAAATTCAAAATACAATAGAAAATTAAATTCAATGTTCAGATATTTGCTATATATTGTATGTCTTACTATAGTTATATACATTATTTGAAGTTATATATCAATATATATATAACATGTTATGAATTATTGATCGGATCCGGAATTTTTCGGATCAAATATTTTTTGAAAAAAAATTATTTTTCGTCTCATATTTTTTTATATTTATATAACTACTATATATATATATATATATGATATATCATATTATAATTCACTGAATTTGCTATCAATAAATAGTATAACTACTAGTTATATATATATAGAGATAACTTATCAGTTAATATTAACTGATGGATAAAACTTTATTTTTTTTTGTATACTGTATATCATATTTTTTTCTATCAGTGGGGGCAATACACTTAACCTATACATATAGTTATACATAAATTGTATTACTATTTTTTAAATATATTATACACTATACTTTATTTTAGATATAAAATATATATATGTATAACAAATGTTTGATATTATGTAGAAAAAAATTGTGTAAATAATGGCTGAAAATATTTTAGTTTTTTTATTAAATAAAAATAATAATTTCAAAGACCTGATGCATAAGCGTTACAATTGTGAACCAAAAGCTGTTATAATAATGGATAGGAAAGAGAAAAAAATAATATTATAGATAAATATTTATTTAATTAATTAATTATTTAATTGATTTATAAATAGACATATAGCACACAAACTGTTAACTTTTAGCAGTAATACTACTATAATATAGTAATAATGATAATAATAATATTAATGTCAATAAGAGACAGACCTATTGGCCATTGAGAATTGATTCTCCATAATATCACTGTCCATAACACCTGACGGTTGTTTAGATGGGAAAGGGATGGATAGAGAAATAGAGAGAGAGAGAGAGAGAGAGAGAGAGAGAGAGAGAGAGAAATAGAAGAAAAAAGTTAGATATAACATAAAAATATTATTTATGATATTTATTTGTATTATTATATATGTGTGTGTTTTTTCAACGAGAACCGGTATATAAACTATTATATATTGTTTGCTAAATGGTTTTAATAGTTTTGTTTAACTACTGTACTAATATAATATTGTAGTTATATATACCGGTATATATATATATAAAAGAGGTTTTCAGGGGCCTTTTTTAAATTTTATTTCAAATATATATTTACGCACATGGATGCGGGTTACGCCACTCGTATGGACTGAAACGGGCGACAATAAACATGGTTATGCTGACCACAATATAGGCAGCCATTACGTACAACCAGATGTCGACATCCAGTGGACTCATAAACGAGAACAGTCTGGTTGGCATTGTTGAGGGCAGTTTGAATAGTATACCGATTCCCAGATTCATGTATGGCTTTGTAAAATGTATGACCGTTTCCCGGGCAAAGTTGATGGTCATTGAGGCCACGGCCAGGTCGGCATTCTGTGTGTGTTTGAGTAAAAAGAGAGAGAGAGAGAGAAAATGGTATATAAAATTTAGGCACAGTTAGGTTATATGTTTTTTTTAAAAAAAATAATAATTATAGTTTTTAATTTAAAAGTTTACAAATTGTATAAATAATATTTTGCATAAAATGTAATTAAATTTTAATGTCTATGTCTATGTGTGTGTGTGTGTGTGTGTATATGTGCTTAAAATAATTACTGATTATAATGATTGTTGCTATTATTTATCTTTAATGTTTATTGCTTGTTGTAAACTAACTATTTAATTTATGCAATGTTAAATTAAAAATTTCAATTAACATTTAGTGTAAAGTTAAATTAAGTTATCAGTCGAAATAATATATGTTAATTTTACGCACCTTTTTTTGAAAATTAACACTAATTAAAATTTACATTTACCCCATAAGTAATAGTACAGTATTATCTAATTAGATTATAGGATTAAATTAATATAACTAAATTGTTGAATAGGTTGTTAAAAGTTTGGTAATTTATATGTTAAACTATGTAAATAATTTTGCTGGTTATCTATTATATTTTATAGTATCCTATAATCTATAGATAATATAATAATAATGTTATAAAACGTGTTGATTAGTAATTAAGATATTAATATTTATAATATAAAAAAAATATAATTATATTATTGTATATTAATATATTATTTAGAAAAAATTGTAATTTTAATAATGTTAAAAACTATTAAGTATATAACAAAATAATTTTCTAAACAACTATTTTCGCAATTATAATGGATTTAATTTAATTAATTTTATTTTATTTTTTTAAAAATACTATAATTTTTTATTTAATTTTTATCTATTTTTATTCGACTGTATAATTATAAATTTATTTTGTTATATACTTAATAGTTTTTATAACTGTTTTTATAACTAATTAAAAATTGTAACTAATTAATAATATTGTAAATATTATTAATTGAAAATAAAAAAATAATAAATGAAATTTATGGCAATTTAAAAACCAAATTTTTAATCTATTGTTATTTATTTTTGTGTGGATATAAATTAATAATAAGTCTAAAACATATGTATTAATACTGTAATAAATTATCAATAATTATTATTAGCTATATAAATGTTTATAAATTTTAGCATTATCGTCTACACTAAGTTTAATTTATATATTTATTAATAATAAACTACATTATTTAGTCTCCAATTAAATTATTCCAGTTTATAATACAGTATTATAAATAACAAAAAATAATTAATTATCAATAATTTTATTAGTACAGTATAACTTACTTACTAAATAAAACTTACTATAAAATTATGAAAATTATTAGATTAATTAATTGTTTAAAAAAATAACTAATTATTGAATAACATATACATTTACATCCCATTTCCTCCCCCTACACACAACCATACACCTACTCACACACTCACACACTCACACACTCACACACTCACATACCCACACACCTACACACCTACACATCCACACACTCACCCCCATAGACATACCTTATCGATGATTTCGCGGACCAAACCGTTCCACTCTTTTGTTGTCTGATTTTCGGCGCCAAACTTGCCGTCGGGAACCAGATATAGTTCATAGTTGAAGCCAAGCATATCGGCGATGGCCTGCAATAGATCAATACAGAAGCCCTCGAACTCGTCGTTTTCGTTGTTGAGACCACCGATATTTATGGCCGACTTGGCTGACGATGTGGACGACAAGATTGACGAATTGCGCGACGAAACGGCGGCGGACGACGAAAATTTTCGCATAACATAAGGCACGGACTCAATGGTGGTCACCCGCAGCGTAATATTGGTGGTACCGAACTCGTGGAAAGCTTCCGGCGCCGTTATGTTCAACTGGTTGGTGGTCGTCCACTCGCCCACCTATTTGGTTGATTTGGTATAAACATCGATATGTATTTAGAGAGATGGTATCATATGGGAGGACAGTTAGATGAGAGCAGTGGACATACCTTTTCCAGTTTGTCTTTTCTGAGCTTAAGTAAGTCCAACTTCATTGTACTCCTGCGGCCCTCTTTGAACTGTATCTTACCGGTCAGTCCGCGAAATTCGGCCTAAATTGAAAGTACCAAACAAAACATCAGATATAGTTGGCTAATAAATAAACTCCTTTTCCTTTTCACTCATATCCCTGTCCTGCTCTCTCTCTCTCTCTCTCTCTCTAACACTAACCGAGTTAACATAGTTGAATAGTGAGCTTCCGTCTATCCAGGGTGTTTCGGCATCGCACGACACGTTGACCGGCCTGAGCGTGGCTCCACGTTCCAGTGCCTGGAGGCCGCGGGCCAGGGCAAACACCGAGTCATACATGAGCGCAGGTTCAATCTGTGATTGAGGAATAGGGTATATAATATATAATTAAATGTGATAAATATGGGACACCTAGTATTATTTTTTTTAGTTAAAATTAGTTAGTCGTATAGTTTGTCACCAAATAAAAAAAAAATAATAGTACTGTAAAAACGACTAAACATTATTATTATTATTGTTATGTCATTATGTCATTCAATTGGATCCAAATAAATAGCAACATTGTGTTACATTGTATTATATCATATCCATTGAGATCAATCTCATTGATGACATAATCAAAAATAAAAATGATGATAAATAAATAAATGTCACTTTTGGCTAATCTTATATATATATATATATATAATTTAGTAGTACTGTACCGGTATAATACAGTAATCTTGACATTTAATATTATCAACTTATTTGTAAAGAGATAAAATAAATAGTTGACATTTGATAAAATTTGACAATTTATTATAACAACTAAACCTTATATTGTTTTTATACACTGTGTATACTAGTATATAATCTTCTATCATATACTGTGTTATATTAATATATAATATTATTTACAGTATATATATATACTATATATGAGTTTGTTTTATAACTAAATATATATATTTTTATTAAATAGTTTTTAGAAAAATTAATTTAGATTTTTGTTTTATTATAATTTACTGTAGTTATTAACAGTGAAATATATTTTCTAAGATTATATGATATGATGTTATGATGTAATCATAACAACAACAAAAAATTAACTAAAATTTTCATATACATACATATACTTTACATAATATGTATGTTTGTGTGTTTGCTGTCATATCTTAAATGATGTGTTTATTAAATTTTATCATCAAATAGATGACTGGCTTTTTATTTTAATATTATAGTATTATTAAGATTAAGAAAATAATAGTACTAATAATTTAATTATATATTATTATTATACAAGACATTAAGTTTGTACTGTTTTTTTTTTAAAAATAATTAATAAATAAAATTGCTATTTATTTATATTGTATATATACATATTGTAATATACAGTATAATACATAGTTATAATGTTATTTTTTCAAAATAAAAAAAACTAATGATGTGAATATAGTAGTGTAATAATTGTGCCCTCAAAATATATTTTCACTAACAATAAAAAAAATACAGCAAACAAACTAAAAGATTAGACATTTTCCTAATTTTGTGGCAATAGTTCAGTTTAAGGGTTGAGTGAAAAATATATAATAATAATAATTTTTTTTGTGTTACTTTCACCAGAAATCTGGCGATCATTAATCACACAGCCTTTTAACTAATCTGACTATTGATCACAACAAGTGTTGTATAATATATTATATTATATTATATTATACATTATATACATACATATATATATATATATAGGTTTGTGTAATGTATTATTAAATATTTAACAAGAAATCTGACAAAAAAAATTGTATTACATATATTAGATGTTATGTATAATCATAATAATAATAATAATAATACTGTAATAACTTTTTTTTTCTTCATAACTAATGTTATTATACTGCAAATATATAAATGTGTGGAAATAAGTGAAAAAAATAATAATTGCATTTATGTGGATTGCTTTATATATAAATATAAATATATATTTATATTATATGAACAAAAATAATACAACAAAATTCCTAGAATTTAAATATTTAAAAAAAAAAGTTTCAAAAATTGCTTTATATATTTCATTTAAGAAAAACTATAAAAGATATAAATATAAAAGACAATATATATATATATACATATACTGTATATATATAAATAAAGAAAATATTTAATTAATATAATAGATTAAATTATATATTTTTTTAAAAAAAATATATAAAAGTTATTTTTTTCATTAATTTTCTTTTCCAAATACTGTTAGTAATATTAACAGTAAATAAACTAATAATTTTTGTTTTACTAATATTTTAAAAATAAAAAAAAAGTTTAGTTTATAACGATAAAAAATAATCGTAGCATTTAAATTTATAAAATACATTATTAGTATATATATATTTATGATTAATATAACTATCGCTTAAATAATAATAACCATAATTTATATTAATATTAATAATAAATAATAATAATACAAAAAAACTTATTAGATATGTATTTATTTATATATAGTTAAATTAATTATTAAAATAAATACTGTATATATAAATAAATAAATAACTAAAATTAATTACATTTATCACATTAGTTTTGTTGAGTATGTGCTGACCCATTGGCTGAAATTTTTCCATATCTCTCAATATGGTCTTTACCTGAGGATTGTCGACATCGACCATCCGATAGGCCGTCATATTTACAAAATTATATTTAAAATTATCTAAATTAAATGTTTCAATATCAAACGTTATGAAATGATAATGATATTTATAATTATTCATCTGTATCTGCAATATCTGGATGATAAAATAGTTGGTTGATTGGTTGGTTGTATATGTTTGTGGTGGAGCGCACCAGTAGGTTATTAGGGAGTGGGAAGGGATGGGATGGAGAAAGACAATTTTAAAAAGTTAGTTATATCTTATTTATTTTTATTTTTTTGGTGGACAGTTATGTTTTAAACACTTACAGCTGATAGCAGTGATGGTAAACTTTCGGGCCTCGTGTCTATGATTATACTGTATATACCCCGAGTGCGGACATCTTTTAGGATTTCCCGAAATGTGCTCGGATTGCTCTTACGGAAGATAAATGTTACCGATTTGGACAGTGGCGGCCGTACCAGTTGTTGTAGTTTTATTAGGGCTGTCCACACACCCCCACAATGGTAACAACAAAAATAATATAAAAAATTTGATAGATATAAAATTGTCAAAAAAAATTAAATGATTATAATTACGGTAATTGTTTAATAATATGAAAAAAAAAGTTTTTAATTAAGTTTTTATTTTTTCCAATTAATATAATACTATTAAATGTCTAAAGATAAAAAAAGATAGTAATTGTTAAATAATAATAATAATAATACTATTAGCAAAAAAATTAGTAATAAAAAAATAGTATTTTTATTTTGTGTTTTTTTATAATAACAAATTCTGGCATAAATTAAGTCAATCTATTTTTTTTGTATTCATTTATTTTTTGTTGTTGTATTTATTTTAGTAGATATTTTTAGGCTACTTTTTTTACGCTTGTTTTTTTATTGTACACGAAAAAACACACAAAATATTATGTAATATATATATAAAAGTTAATGTATAAAAGTATAGTTTATAGTGACTAAACACTATACATGTTTTTTTTCTATACAACTATTTTATTTTTTATAGTAATTTATATACAGTATAGTACTATACTATTAGATAGCAGAAAAAATCGTTTCACAAATTAGTAATTATACTAAACATTTAACTATATATTGGGAAAAAAACAGTTATTTTATTGATGTATATAAACTATATAATAATAATAATAATGGAAATGAATTGCCAGCTATTTTCATGACTATATCTATCTATAATATATTACTATCCTATTGATAGCCATAAAATTGTTTGGGTATTAAAATACCATTGAATTTTTTATTGTTGTTCAATAGATAGTGTATAACTTATTTACGATCGGCTGATTTAATTGCATGCAATATATTTTCATATAGTTATCTATATTTATCTCCATGAGCTTAATCAATTGATATATATATATATATAAATTAAAACTTATATATTATATATTTTTACATAAACAACATTATTGAGTAGTTATTAAAATCTATAAAAAATATTATTATATTTGATATTTATTTTATTACTTTTAAATTTTAATATACAGTATATGTATTGTATATTATTTTGTAAAATTTAAAAATAGATATTAAATTTTCTAAAATAAACAAATATTATGAAAAATATTTTATCTTTAAATTAATTAAATTTTATAAGAAACTTTAAGTTACAAAAAAGAGGATATTTAAAATAAATGAAACTCATATTAAATGCATGAAGCATTTATTATTATTATATATAATACATGAATATTTTTGAATATAAAAATTAATATTATTTTTAGTTATTATTATCATAATTTAATATAGGTTTGTAAAATAAAAAACTTATAAAAAAATAATTTAAATATACTCAATGCTAGAAAAATATATTATAAATATAATAATTCAAATGAATACTATAAATATTACTAATTTTTTGTAAATTAATACTATTATTGAATCAAAAAAAATTATTGAAAATTATTTATTTTAAAAAAATGTTTATATTATCTAAAATATTATGCTATATATATACTAAAAAAATAAATATATATATATATATAAAAATAAAATATACCAGATTTATGATACATACACAAATCGTCCTCATAGATGACTGCAATTTTTGTCCAATTAAGATAAGTAATGAGATCCCGGAGCGCATCGCCAATAAGCGTAGGACTCGGATATAGATTTATGGAAAACTCTTTGGCGTCCGATTCGAGATCAATGCGGGCCTCGATGTGGGGTATGTCGAGAGCGTCGCATAAACTTTGAATATGACCGCCCAGTAGGGGGTCCTGTGGACCAAAAATGGCATTTACGCCACCACTCACTTGATGACAGGCTATAATGATAATAATAATAATAAATTAAAAATATTGATAAATTAATTACAATTTTTAAATTAATTAGTATTATCAATAATCATAATGCATTAAATGTATATTCATTAATTTTAATTATATTTGGGAATATTATTTATGTTTGAAATAAAATAATTATTATATATATATTAATTTATGAATTTGAAATTTTAACAAAAATCATATTATAATAAATGTTAATTTATAGTAATTAGGAGCAATGATTTTTATTTTATTATTTTTACAATATATGTGTGCAATATATGTGTACAATATAATGACCAATCAATAAAATTGATAACATATATAAGCTACCAGTTTATCTCTTTTTTAACGATAGGCTATATATATAACAAATTATTGACAGATAAATTTGATACTTGAATTTAATATATAGATTTATATATATTTAGTATAGTATTTTACTTTATACTATATATATATATATAATGTTGAGTTTAGATATAATTTTAAGTGGGGAATTGAAAATTATATTTAATATAATTCCCAATAATAATAATAATAATAATAATAGCCAACAAATTATTGTTATTGAATTGAATGAAAAATTTTGCTCACATATCATATCTCTCAAAATAAATTTCATTGATTGATCTCATTATCATTTTATTCAATTACTGGCAATTTTTCTGATATTCAATTGAAGCCTAAAATTTTGTTGTTTGTATATATATAAGACATATTTATACAGTATATAATAAGTTTATACAATTTTATATCAATATATTGTAGTTATTAAGCGTATATAACAATCAATTGACAAAATAAATGCCATCCTATCTATACATTAATTATTCCAATATTAATAATAATAATATTATTATTATTATTGAAAAAGACATTGAAAACTGATTTTATTTCAAACAATTTGCTGACATTTGTGTGTTTGTAATGTATTTTTTTTTATATATTATATATCTATAATACCATTAATATACAGAAAACTTTTATATAATATAATTTATATACTATTTGTTATATGTTTTAATATATATAAAAAAATATATAGTTATATTTATTAACTTATAGTACTTATGTACAGTAAACTATGGTAACAATTTTTGTTGTTGTTGATATTATTAAAGCAAAAAAAAAACTAAATAAATAAAAAGTATCTAATATTTTATTTTGTAATATATTACACACTTTTTTTGCGATACAATAGCGAAAATAAAAAGTTTGCAACAAAAAAAAAGTTTTATCTAAATGTTATTTTCCGGTCAAAAAATTATTTTTGATGACCAAACACACTCACACACGCCTAGCAATATATAATACAATTGGCAAAATGTATGACCAGTTTAGTGTATATGTTTTTGTTTGGTAAGGTTAGGTACGGCCCACATATCAAATGCACACCTTATTATTTATATTATTTTGTTATTTTTTCAATTTATTATTATATCATTATTGGGAAAAAAATTATTAAAAAAAAAACTTTATGGAAACAAATAATACGGTTATAAATTTTTTTTTTGGTTTTTTTTCTGTAAATCAATTGTAACTGTAATTTTAAAATATATGTCAAATCTAATGAAACTATTATTAATATATAGTCTACTAATCATTAAATTATTATTAATATATTTTAAATTATATATATATAATTAATTGATAAAAAATTGTTTGTAAATTCGGAAAACAAATTATGCAAATATTATAATATAATAATATTTTCAACAATGATTTGTCGTTATTCACACATTAATAATAAAAAGTAGAAAAAATAAATGATTAATAATATATTATTATTATTATTGTTTAGTCCCACAAAATAACAGTTAAAAATGATAAATATATTTTTTAGTGTAAAATAATTTGCAGCACCAGTTAAGATAGTTTTATATGTGTATATGTGTGTAACGTAATGGTCGGTCGGGTCATTACTTTTAGCAGTCTTGACATACGCCGCCCCGTTATGGGTGACACCAGAAAAACGCCTTTCCATCAGAAAATTTATTATACGAAATGTTATATATTTTTTTTGCTTATTTCTCTCTCTCTCTCTCTCTCTCTCTCTCTCTCTCTCTCTCTCTCTCTCTCTCTCTCTCTCTCTCTCTCTCTCTGTCTCTCTCTCTACTCTCTAAGCTCTCTACATGTCTGGGTTAACCGTTTTCGTCTTCACACTAATGGTTTACTCAAAATAATAAATGTTTGCCAAAAAATATGACAAAAACTGATGGTTTAAGTCATATACTATATATACAGTATATATATATATATACAAATATATATTAATTTATATATATATATATGTAGGAGTGACAAATATATTATGCAATTTAAAGCCCAAAAAATATTTGCACTATAAGATTATCGTATCATTAATCAAACTGTTTTAAACTATGATATATATATAAACTATAACATATAACATACATATTATACATACATAATATTCTTTGATACATATAAGTTATATAGATTTTTATTTATTTATTTATTTATATTTTATTGTAAAATAGAGATTTGTTTTAATAGTAACTAATTTTATAGTAAGAATTCAAGGTTTAATTTTCTCTAATGATTAGCGATTAATTCACAGAATAAATATAATACAAACACATAACAAATAATACAGAATAATAGCCTTTAAGTTTAAAGGCAAACAAAATAATAATAATAATAATAATATGAGATAATTGAAGTTATTTATTGTTAACAATTGAATAATATTTCTGTGAATTTCTTATACTATTGTATTATATTTTTGTATTGCATTGTATTGAATGTGTTATATATACTATATATATTATATTTGAATTTCATATAATACTATATTATTCAATTGTATTATACAGTATATTATATATAAATATATATATTTATACGATAAGCCGTGAATTTGTTGGCAAATTATTTGTAGAAATGAGTATTGACTACAAAATCAATTTGTATTTTTTTACATTGAAAAACATACTGTAAATGTAATGTCTAGTACTATATATATACAGTATATATATATATTATGTACAATATATGTTTATTACATAGAAATAATCGATTGATTTTTTTCTTGTTGGTTATCACTGTATGTTATGTAATAGTCTAATTAGAGATGGGCAAATAGAAAGTTTCTAATAAATTTCCCTGAGAAAGTTTCTAGAAAGTTTCTCAGGAATAAATTTCCATAGAAATTTAACTTTTTTGTTATACTATGGGATCCCCATATCTATAGATACATTAAAACTATAAATATATTAATGAGACATACTAGTACTAGTATACATATAATATTATACTATATAATGTAGATTACTGTATAATACTATATTATACAAATGGGATACCTATATAAATAATTATAATTATTTAATAATAATCAGTTTTGTAAAATTTTATTCACCATTTTATAATATCATAGTTTAATATAATTAAATAAATAAATTTTTTACTTTAATTAATAATTAAAATACTATTTATAAAAACAATGTTAAAGATAACAAATATCGATAAAACAAAATTAACCATGGGGATCCCATAAATAGAAATTTCTTTTAGAAACTTTCTAGAAATTTCTCTATTATTTTATAAATTTCTCTTTTTTGCCAACACTAAGTCTAATACATTATAATTTTATGGCAAAACATAAATATCTAGAAATTTTCATAGATTTTTATGACTACTTTAAATTATTTGTTGTTGTGTTTTTTATTTATTATAAATCACTAGTGAATGGGTAGAAAATAGTGATAAAATTATAGTAATGTCTATACATATAGAGATAGTAGACATAAATTTTATATGAATTGTATATACAGTATATAAATATATAAATAGATTGAATGAATATATATATAAATTGATTTATTGTTTATGAAAAACAGTAAACTTATAGTATAGCAGAATATTCTGTTATACATATAATTATGTCTACAATTCATTTTTAAAAATAATTTATTTTTTAAAAACATATTTATATACTTTAACTATATTATTGTTGCTAATATTTGAAAATAAAAGTCCATTTAATATTCACCACTACTCGTATATATCATATATATATATATACTGTATATGTAATAACCAATGGTATAAAAATTTACATAACTATAAAATTTTTGAAAAAACACACACACACAATGTATACTTTTTAATATACAGAGCATATCAATAAGCTATCATTAATAGTATCATATTATTATTATTATTATTATTTTATTACTTATATATATTAAATGTTTAAATAACAAAATGTGCATAAAATAGATATTCACGGTTCGTACATATTTGATAAATACAATATAAGGTTACATTTAATATATGATAATAAGTTACAGTAACTAATGTTATACATATTTTTCAGTAAATTTATATATATATAAGTTTCTATACAATACATATGGGACTAGTTTTTAACATTAAATATTATATAAGTATGTGCTTTAAATAAACAAATATCAATTTATATATTCACGTTTGTGTATGTGTATGTATATGCATGTATATGCATGTATATGCATGTATATGCATGTGTATGCATGTATATGTATTTATGTATGTATGTATCTACAGTATGTATGTATGTGTGTAAATGTGATATATCAAATAACAACTAACAACGGTTAATTACACATTTACATTATTATATTTCAGTATTATAAGAGTAGTACTTATATTTAATTTATATAATGTATTATAGATATTTATATATATTGTACATTATTTTATTATAATTTAAAAAAAAAATTATTTTTATTATCATTTCAAATGTATATAATGATAATAATATTAATAATAGAAAAAATTATCATAAGTAATAGATAGAGAGAAAAAAATCTCATTTGATTTCAATAATGTATAATTTTTAATTCATAATAGATAGATAGGATGCATAAATATAATATACATTATACAGTATTACAACATAAACTACTAAACATAATGTATAACTTAAAGTAACTTTTGTAAAAAATAAAATAATAATTTCTTTTTGTTATAACATTTACATTACATTATTTGACTACAATTTTTGTTGTTGTATTTTCATACACATTAACAATATTAGTATTATGATAATAATAATAATAATATATCGTACATTATGATGATTGTTATTATATATCAAAAAAAAAAATTCTCAAAATTTGTTATACATAATAATTATAATATAGTTATAAAGAGTCAATTCCTGAAAATATTTGAATTTTTCTCCACAAAATTTCCAGTAATTTTTGTTGATAGTAATAACTATTAATGTTTGCTAATTTAATTAATTACTTATTAATAAAATAATTATCATATGTTTATAAAACTGGTTGTTATTAATATTTAATTAGTTTATTTTTAGCTTATAAAATTATTATTTCTAATATAGGTATGTTAATAATTAATATTTATATAAATTTAACAATCAAATTGAATAAAAAAATTGTTATTATCATAAAAATAGAGTTTTATATTGAAACAGAAATTTTCAATATTGTAAATATTTTTTTACACAAAACTAACTATAAATTCAATATTAAATATATATTATAATAGTTTATAATATCAATTTCCTATCAAATAATATTTTTTTTAATAATATTTACACTAAAATATTTTTTTTTATTGACAATAAACTCATTTTATTATTTTTGAAACATGTTATCGTTACTAAATAAATTTTCTATAGATAATAGAAAATTGTTAATACACTAGTTTTTTTGTAATTATATTTATGTTTGCTTTATATGTGTATACAATATGTTTATATTTAAACAATTTTTTTATACAATATTATAGAAATTATCATATATATATATATTAATAATAATTTATAATATATATTAATATATATATATATATTTATATTGTATGAAATCAAATATTTAAATTTTTAAAAATATAAGCATTGTAAATTTTACTAAAAGTTATTAAAAAGCTGTTTTATTATCAATAATATTTTAATAATATGTTATATATCATAATATTTTTTTTTAATTTACTTATATTATAATCTGTATATTAATATTGTTGTTAATATTTAAACTAACAAAATAAAAATTTAATTATTTTTAAATCTATTAAAATTAATAATAATAACTTTTTTTTAAAGAATATATTACTTATTATAAGTATCATTATTATTAGTTTTTACGATAATTAAAATAGTGTTTAGTTTTTTTTTAAAAAAATAATTAATTAATATTGTTTATCATATCAATAATGTTGGGGTTAGAGGAATAGGTATGTAGGGTGTGGGGGTGGTGGACACATACCTTTTTTGGCTGCATGAAAGCTGTCCTCACGGGGCACGTATTGGATATCATAGATTAACGTTATATTGGCTAACAGTGTCCTGTCTTTATTAATACGATAGACGGCATACTTGAAGGCCAACTCTGATGGACCGTCTTTTTCGTCCTCAGCAAACAATGCGCCTAAAAAACACACAAAAAAATCAGACAATAATTATATATTTGATGTATAGATATTATATATACTGTATATATATAAATGGATTTTTCTTATAAATTTAATTTAATGATTATTTTCCATATATTTTCTGAAAATTTATATAAAGTATATGTTTTCTAGATTTTATTTTGATTATAAAAAAAATTATATTTAATGTTATGATATAAATAAAAAGTTATTTTATGATTTATTGAAAGCAAAATATATATATTAAAAAAATTGTTTCAAGTTTTTTTCTCTCCAAAAAATTCAATTTTAACAGACTATTTGCCGTAACGATTATTATTTACTATAATAATAATATTATTTTATTTATTATTATTATTATTATATATTTTATAGTTTGTGTACTCTTGTTGACCAAATTGACCAAAAATATATACAGTATATATATATATATATAATATTACACACAAATATATATAATAACATTTTAAAATATATATATATATACAGTTTATGTTATTTTGTACATTATATATATATACTGTATATGATATATTGGATATGATGTATATACAGTATATAAAAATGTTTGATATTTAATAAATTTTATTGATTTTTAAGAGACCGCATATAATATTATATATTTGTTAACATTATCCATGTTATGGCCAGTTATTTGGATGTTTTAGGTTACAGTTAATAACAATAAAAATTTGTATAAGTATTTACAATATATATATATATATATAGTAGTCACTAAAATATCTATTAAATATATTATTATTTGTATAAATATATCATATTATATAATATTACATTTTATTATCGATTTTATTGACATAGTTTTTTCCGTTTGACTTTTTTCAAATATGATATATAAATTTATATATATTAAAAAAAGTAAATAAATATCAACTATTGATAAATAAATGACTTTAAAAAACCCATGCTTTTTCTATTTGGTTAAACTGTAAGTAAAGAAAACAAAAAATTTTTGTAAAGTTATAAACTTAGAAAATATTATATACAGTATATACTGTATATATAAAATCATGAAATTGTTAACAACCCTTATAGGAACTTAAAATTTTATTATATACTGTAATAATAATAATAATAATATAAAATCTAAAAAATTCAATTTAATAGTTCCGGTATTTGTGTTCAATGTTCAATAGTCTATGAGTTATAACTTTCAACAAATCAATACACATATACACACACACACACACACAATACACACACAATACACATGCATATATACAAACATACAAATAAAACAACAAAAATATTTAATACAAATTAATGAACATCATTTTGTGCATATTTACAATAAAAATAGCTATTAATTTAAATGGGCATATATTTTTTGAAATAAACATTATACAGTATATTAAATGTTAAATCAAATAACACAAACTATATGATTAAATATTATACATTTAATATTTTTTGATGTTTTTAAAAATTATTATTATATTTTAATTATTAGTATTATGCGACCAAAAAATATCAGGAAAATAATTCTACTTTTAATAATAATAATTAGTATTATTAGTATAAAGTATAAGTATTTTTATTCATTAAATTTACAGTTGAATGCAATTATGTTTGACACATACATTACATTCAAGAATATTCTCAAAAGTAATTTCTATAATATATTTATTTATATTTATTATATATATATATATATATTCTGGGATTCAATTTGTTTAGTTAAGCGCCATTAAAGACATATTAATCCCCAGAAACTTTAACTCAATGTATGTGTGTTTGTGTCTCTGTGTTTGTCACAAAAATTTTTATATACATTTGAAGTCCAATTAATTGCAATCAATAATAATAATAATAATTATTATTATTATTGCTTTTCACAGCTTTATTCACTATATAAATTAATTTATATACAGTTTATACTGTATGTCATATAATATATATATATATATAGTTTAGTAAAACAAATATTTTAAGAGAGACTTAAAGATTTCTGCAATTTGTTTTTGGGATAAAAACATAGTTTAATTAAATTTTTATTAGTAAATAAGAATATAAAAATGATATATATATATATTGATTCATTATTATTAAATTACTATAAATATTTTATATTAATTAATGTTTTTTTTGAACCTCTATAACTGACACGTGCAATATATAATTGTAAAATTTAATACATATTTTATTATATAATAATAAAATAAAAATTTTTTTAATAAAAATGGCATTAAATTCTAATTAACTTTACTTATGTAACAACTTTATTAAATAAAATATTTAAGAAAAATATTATATATTTTTTTATTTGATTTTTAAAAAAATTGTATTAAATATATCAAAAAATAAATTATATGATATTATAGATAAATACTGTAGTAATACTATATACTACTAATTTTTTTCATATTAACTAAATTAACAGTATATCATGTTTTTTTTTGTTGTTGATTATAATATGTAATATTATCTTATAAATAAATATGTTTAATAAAAATGTGACTAAAATTCATAATCATATATAAAATCATACAAACAAACAAACAAAAACATTAATATATAAAAAATGATAAAATTGTTGACTAATAGCACATGTATTAATAGTATATAGAAAATAGAGACACATATCATCTAATCATTAGTTATATTAGTGTTAATGTCAAGTATATGATCAGACATTTATAGAGTTAGACATAACTTAATAAATACATTGAGATATTATCAGAGAGAGAGAGAGAGAGTAAAGGGTATATACTATATAGTATAGAAATATAGGATATACTATTAAAACAAACAAAAACTGTTTTATTTATACATTAGATTACTTTTAGGATATAAAGGCTAAATATATATATTTTATATATATATATATATATTAAACCACAAAATAATAGACACTAACGTTATACTGTATATATAAAAAGTAAATTATATAGTATTTATTAGTATTTAATAATATATAACAAATTATATGTCAAATAAAAAAGTAGTTATTTTTTTGTTTAAATATAAACTCATCGTTCATTTATAAAAAACAAATATTTTTTAATATATATAGATATATATTTAGCTCTCAAATTGATAGACATTTGTTAAAATTTTGATTAAATAAATGACTGATTGGTCAGTGAGTGGGTGAGTGAGTGAGTGATTATTTGATTTAGTAAATGATTGATTAAGTGTGTGAGTAATTAATTACATGAAAAGTTTAAATTAATAAAAACTTTTATATAACTTAATAATAATTATATAAAAAAAACTAATTATTAATATTCATATCAATTCATTGCAAACAAAAAACATTTCTTGAGTACATATTTTACTACAGAAATCATGTATTCATTCAATTTTTTTATATTCATTTATTCAATAATAATAATAATAATAATATAAATATTTTCTATTATATTATTATTATTATTATATTTATATATAAAAAACACAAAAAAATATTTGACAAACACATAATAAATGGTGAATTGACTGATGGATTGACTCTACTGTTCAAATGAGTCGCTAAAATGCTGTGATTTTTATTATATTTTGTTTTCAGTGTTTTTTTTTGTTTTGTTTTATTGTTTTATTACATATAATGTGCTTTTTATTACATAACTATTTTTATTAATAATAATAATAATAAAAATTTAATAAAAGAAATATTTTTCATATTAAATATATTAGACTCTCTTTTTTTGTAGTATTAATATCGACCCTAAAAATACTTAACTAAAATAGATTAAAAATTAGATTAAAATGTTATTAAAAAAATTGTTAATTAATTCAATTTAAACCTATCTATTAGTAAACATAATAATTAATAAAAATTTAAATAAATAATTATAAATATTATGGAAAGAATATTAAGAAAAAATAAATAAATAGATATTTTTATTTTAGATATAAAAAATACATGTTATAAAACATGTTGTCTTTTTTAATCATTATATATATTTACTGTATATATATATATAAACTAATGTTTGATTTAAGATTAGAAATAAATGTATATAATATGTATTGACATATCTAACAAATAGCGATTTATTTTATTTTTTTTGACAATATTTAAAACTATTTTCCTATAAAATATTAAATGCAAGAAATAAATAAAATAAACTATAAGTTCAATAAACAATTTTTTTTGTCGTCTACTATTAGTTTTCAGTTGATAACTATAATATGATTTTTTTTGTTATGAAAAAATAATAATATTGACTTTAAATCTATATTTAAATATATATAAAACTATTTAAAAAGTTTTCTTTTTGTATTTTCACGTAATACTGGGGAAAAAATGTATTTTTTATATATGATATACAAAAAAATACAATTTATTCCACATTGACAACAGATATAAAGTTTTTTTAACTAAATTGAAAAGTTTTAAATTTCACCCTATTTTTTGTTATTAAACTTTTAAGTTTTAATTTAAAAAATAATAAAAATATATAAGTATAAAAAAATGTGGCATTAAATGTAATAAAATAAATTTCATATTTTTTTGGAAATAAAAAAATATTTCACAATTTATTTAGTATTTACTTTATAATATATGGAGTCTATTATATAACTGTATTATTTGTTTTACACTATAAATATTTATATAATCATAATAAAAGTAATTAAAACTTTAATTTGTTAATAAATTTTTACATGAAATATACAGATAATTAGTATTTCATAATAGTTTTGCACTGAAACTTTTTTAAAAAAATAAATATATTAAACTTTAATAATTTATTATTAATTATATGCAATATAATGATAATTTAATTAATACTATTTATCAATATTATAAATATAGTATTAACTATGTATATAAAATACAGTACAATATACTTAAGTCAATTATTATTAATTTTTGTTGATTTTATTTTGCTTGTATGACTCTGAATCAAACAAATATTAGATATATGTATAATATTTGATAACAAAAAATTGAATACTAGTTTGTATGGTTTTGTAAACAACAACAACAACAACAGTATTCATATAAATACAAAACATATTATCACCAAAA